CATATATGGAAGTAATAATATAACCAATAGGAAAAAAACAATTAAAATGCCCATACAATATCAATGTTAATTTTTAGCAATAATAAAATAAATACCTAAGTTCTGAAATAAAACAATGTTCACTATATATCGTTATGAAAAATATTATGCACACACACACCCTTCAGCCAATACATGTAATACATATAAAGAACCTGAATCATTCCTGGGACATAATTATATAAGTTAGTGTTATGCATGTGTGAATAGTTAAGGGGAAAAAAACTAGAAATATATACTGTTAATATGGGCCTTCAGTACACGCTCAATATCTGAGGAAGGATGAAAAGGAAGAAGCAGTCAGGTTTACCTTTGCTAACATAGACTCACATTAATTTTCACTTCCCACATTTCAGTATTACTTCATTTTTTTAAATAATCAGTATTGTCAGTGGTTAGAATTACATGGTCCTTACTTTAAGAAATTAAAAACAGGCTGGGCACAGTGGCTCATGCCTGTAATCCCAGCACTTTGGGAGGCCAAGGCGAGTGGATCACCCGAGGTCAGGAGTTCGAGACCAGCCTAACAAATATAGAGAAACCCTGTCTCTACTAAAATTACAAAAACTAGCCGGGCGTGGTGGTGCATGCCTGTTATCCCAGCTAATTGGGAGGCTGAAGCAGGAGAATCACTTGAACCCAGAAGACGGAGGTTGTGGTGAGTCAAGATTGCGCCATTGCACTCCAGCCTGGGCAACAAAAGTGAAACTCCATCCCAAAAAAAAAAAAGAAAGAAATTTAAAACATATTAAAGGAAGTGAAAGTCTCTTTTTTACTTGTATATTAAAATATACATACTGATATATTTTATTACAAAAGTGAGGTACTAAAAGCCAAAATGGCTACTTAAAGTAATGAATAAGAAAAATTTATTACTTGGAATTAACTCTAGAAGGACAGATTTGAAAGATAATTAGTAACAGCTTTTATCTGAGATAATACCAAGTAATTATTCATAGCTTTCTGGAATATCGTATTGAAAAAAATCCTAAGGCAGATCTAGGTTCATTAAGAAAATAATCAATTATTATTGATAGTGGCCATGAAGAAGCAGGGATGCATAAGCTATGTTGACATGAGTAAATGCCCATTAAATACAAAGATGGTCTTCTCCGAGATACGAAGACATCCAAATCCTTCAGTTTCTCACTTTTAGTTAGGGGACAGACTTTCTACAGAAATATCTTTAGAAAGAGAACTCACTTTTTCTTCCAGGTCTTCACTTGCAAAGTATTATACAATCCAGCAACATTCAACAAGTATTTATTAATACCTTGTATAAAGCACTCTGTGAGACACTGAAAACATAAAAACAGTCTGCAAATGTAGCAAACAAGAGGCAAATGAACAATTGAAGAACATTAAGTCCTATGGGAGCACGCACTACTGACAGTGGAGAAGGAGCAAGAAGGGTTAGAAGGACATGAGTATTCTAGAAGAGGAAATAACAAATGCAGACCGGAAAGCAGGAGGATGGATCTTTTGAGGAAATAAAAGAAATTCAGTACAACTACCACAAGGGAATGTTGTTGTAATGACTAGTGAGGGGGACAGGGTAAAGATGGCAGAACGTGATGCTGGAAAAATGCACAGGAAGGGATTCAGTTCACAAAAGATTTATAGAACCTTGTATGCAGCAGCTCTGCTAAATTCACTGATTAATTCTAACCATTTGTTGGTTCTATTGCATTTTCTATGTACACAATCATGTTATCGATGAATAAAGACACTTTCATATCCTTCTTTCTAATCTTTATGCCTTTTTTGTTTTTCTTGCCTGATTGTAATGGCTAGGAACTACAATAAATAGAAGTGGTGACAGAAGTCATCCTGAACTCAGCAAGAAAGCATTCAATATACCAACATTGAGTATAACGCTTGGTATACATTTTTAAAATAGATAACTTTTATCATATTCAGAACTTTTTTCTATTCCTAGTTGCTAAATTTTTTTTTTTTAATCATAAATGGCTACTGAGATTTGGCAAAGTTTTTTTCCTACTTCTATTGAGATGATCATACAGGTTTTCTTCTTCACTCTAATACAGTAAATTACATGGATTTCCTTTTTTTTTTTTTTTGATATGGAGTCTCATACTGTCACCCTGACTGGAATGCAATGGCGCTATCTCAGCTCACTACAACCTCCACCTCCTGAGTTCAAACAGTTCTCCTGCTTCACCCTCCCGAGTAGCGGGGATTACAGGCGCCAGCCACCATGTTCGGCTAATTTTCTGTATTTTCAGTAGAGACAAGGTTTCACTATGTTGGCCATGCTGGTCTCGAACTCCTGACTTCATGATCCACCTGCCTCAGCCTCCCAAAGTGCTGGGATTACAGGTGTGAGCCACCAAGCCCAGCCCATTAATTTTCAAATGTTAGCCAACATTGTATTCCTGGAATAAATCTTACTTTGTCCTGATGTTTAATTATTTTTATATGTCATTGGATTCTATTTGCTACCTATTCATATGTAAAGTATACCAAGAAAGAAGAAAGGGAGGCAAAGAAGAAAGAAGGGAGGAAGGTATTAGATATGAGAGGTATAGGGTAAGAAAAACATAACAGCAGAAAATAATTTTTCAAGAGAAGTATTAGTAAGCCACACTGGAACTATCTCAAAAAAAGAATAAGAAATTAATTTTAAAAAATTAACCAGTACAAGGGATTTAACATCCAGATAATACAAGTTATAGAATGAATGAACAATGAAAACTTAATGGAAGAAATCAACAACAAAAACTGAAGCCATTTCGTCAAAATACCAGACTTGCATTTTCAAATTAAAAGGGTCCAAGAAAATGTGTGAATCAAGACACAAGGCTGCAAAGTTTCAGAACATCGGGAACAAAGCCAACATTGTATAAATTTCCGGAAAGTAAAACAAGCCACAAAGAAAAAGGTATCAAAACGGCCTTAGACTCTTCAACATAATGTTATACCAATGCCTTTGAAATTCTGAAGTAACTTTCTTATAAACATGTATTTGTTATCCAGCCAAATAATCAATCAAGAGTGAAGGAAGAATAAAGACAGACAATACCTCCCACAAATCCTTTTTCAGAAAGCTACATATTCCACCACAACAAATTAAAGCAAAATGGGTAAAAGAGAAAAGTGGGTATTACTCTTTTCCATTACAAGTTTTATGTGATCATTTGCATGTATGACTTTGGGGGAAAAAATCTAAAAGGCTGCTCTGAAGGTAGTGAGTTCTCGATTGTTTACAGTCAGTTACGGATGAAACTCCTCATTCTACTTTTTCCCCCCTTCTCACTACTGCACTTGACTAGTCTTTTTCAAAAATCTAAAAGATTAATCAAATACAATAAAAGCTACACAAGTAATTTGCTTAACTCATAACAGAAAACTTACCCATGTAAAATCATATTTTAAATCTAACAATATATTTTTAAATAAGTACATTATAGTAAAGGAAGTAATCTTTTTTAAAAAAGGAAAGTAAATTAAAAATACTTCTAAAGAAAATATTAGCAATATTAATTAGATATTTTCATGACATATTTCTGCCTTAAAAGTTCAGAAAAGATGAACATTGATAATACTCATAAACAAAATAACTTCACAAATAACAAGAAGAGGGAAAAGTCTGCATCTGTGAATTACCCACAAAGAAACAGAGCAGAGTCCTTTAGTAATAAAGTCCTCCTTGATTCCAACCATCCAAAGAGAAAGCTGGCTATTCCAAAAACCTTCTAGAAAAGGATGGTCTAGAATCTTCATTGTCAAAATATTTCACCAAATTACAAATGCAACAAAAAACAGAACAAAAGAGAGAGTGACATGGCATGAGAGAGCGAGAGAGAGCACGATCAACTGTGTGAGAAAGAAACAGACAGCGAAAGAGCTGAAATCAGAATATGCCATAGAGTTGAATAGCAAGGGAGAAAATCTACACGTGACTGCAAGACACTGTTGCCTTGTTTCCTCCACCCTCCTCATCTCATTTAGGCAGATTTAGTTGCTAAATTAATCCCTATATTCTTTAGGCACAATCACAATGTCGTAAGTTTTCAAAAACATCAATCTCACAAATTTAGAGAATTAGCTGCTACAAGAAGTCTTATAAGACTTTTTTCACTTCAGGTAACTTTTTAAAATATAATAGAATTAAAATATCTTAATATCCTATTTTTAAAAAGATTTTAAAGTATCCAAACATGATTATTATGATTACGTTTTCAGTGCACATGCAAAAATATTCTTGAGTGAACACAGGAAATGTAATGAGAGAATAATACCTTTGGAAAACTCAAAGTATTAAGGAGTCAGGAGTTATTTAGCCATCTAAAAGCAGGTTTAGTACAAACACATATTTGAATTTTTTTAATAAATACAAAACATATATACTATTTAAACACAACATTAAGAAGTATTCTCTATTACAGCAGAATTGCAAGCTTTTTTAAAAGCCCAAAACTCCACTTCTGACATAGCTGTAGATGCAGACAGCAGAGTCATCTACAACCCAGATAAAAGTGAAAACCAAGCTCTCCACGGCATAAGTATAACTGAGAAGGAGGGCAAAGGCAGGAGAACAACAGAGACTTGAGGAATACCCACAGAAGAAAGCTAAGCCAGAAACATAACAAAGGCGGCACAGTCAGCCAGGAAGGGATATGGGAAGAAGGATGCCATGAAAACCAAGAGAGAAAAGGACTTCAAGAAAGAGCCAGCAAAGGCAGAGGCTAAATCGAGATCAAAGAGGATGAAGATAAATCAAAACCACAGCAGAAAGTGAATGGCCATATTGAATTGGTTAAGATTACCTATTTCCATCTCAACTGACAGAACTAAGTTTATCTTTGGGGGAGGTGGGGAAGGGGAATGGACACTTGGAGGAAAACAGACTTTAGTTATCATTCTTGCTGTCTGTAGTCCAAGACCAACAAAAGAGAAACTCTTTTCTGAATGATTTTCTTCTTAAGGACTACACTCACCAAACTGTGGAGCAGGCAAGATTCTAGCCGCTCGAATTGGGCCATGTCGAACAGAGAAGAGCTCTTGTGCTTCCCCACTGATCTGCATGAGAGAAGAAAGAAAGTATTTCAGTGGGAAAATGAAGGTCACAACAGTATTATATAAAAACAAGATCTTTCAAATTTTATAACAATATTTTGTCTGAAATATATATTACATCCACACACATTTATTGTTGCTCATACACGATTGTTGGTCACATTACTGCAAGTAATTTTAGAAAACTGTAAGAGCACACACTTGATATGAACAGAAAAAAAGGGTCTGTTCTGGAAGTCTATATTTTTTATCTTATTAAACCATTAGAAATCTGTACAGTTCCTGCACAACTGCCTTCTCTTTTGAGAACAAAACTGTAATACTACTCTGAAAATCTCACCTTAAATATTGTAGCAACTTTAACAAATATGTTGTAAATGAGAAAAAGCAATACATATTCACTTAAGTGAAATGTGAATAATTTATGTATACTTACGGTTAGGCAACTAATTGTCTGTTAACATTGAGTAAATCATGTAACCTCAATAAGCCTATATTCTTTCACAATCATAAAATGAAAAGGAAAAGCTGCTAAAAAAGCCCCCAGGATACTTCTAATTTCAATATTCTGTGAACAAAAAATTCTATATATACACAACTTTTAAAAGTCATCATTTTTATTATACACTTAAATATAAACATAGCTCAAACATTATGAATATCCAAGCAATTTGAGTCATTCATTCTATTAATTCAAAAGATAAAGGGTATGTTCAGGACATTTTGTGGGGGATAAAAATTTTTTTAAAAGAAGAACAAAAGGTAAAGGGGTATGGTAATATGTGTCAAGTGTGAAAACAACTGCTTTTCAAACTGCTGATTGAAGCACTGAGCAGATTAAATTATAGTTAAGAATAGCTTTCCTATTTCCATCTCAACTGACAGAACTCTGAGTTTATCTTTGGGGGAGATGGGGAAGGGAGAGAGATTAAATTACTCTACATGGTACTGTAGTTCTCAAACCATTTTCATAATTGCCTAGTGTTTGATGAAATATGCAATATCAGAGAAAATGGCAACCATTATAAAACTAGTTCAAGATACAAAAGAACTTACAACCAATGTAATAAAGATATAAATTCAACAGAGGAAACATACTGATGGTATTTTTTTAAAAACAGGCCTGCCATACAAGCAGTTTAAAATATCAAAGATGTATACATTATAAAATTAGAAGTGTATAAATCTTACAATATTACTATAAATCTACAGAGCTCTCTTTTAGAGTAACTACTTTTTTAGATTTTTCAGCTTCTATCTGAATTTAAGAGCTGCAAACTATAAATATTTTTGTTTCCTATAAATGTTAAGTTGTGATAATGCCTAAATAACCATCATATTCATTTTGCTTATGATAATTACTACAAATTATTTATTAGCAAGAAATCCTTCTGTAGCACTTGGGATGCAGATGCGAAGAATGCGAGGACTAACTGTGCAACAATAGCACCACCTATCACCAATGAAACACATGAAAGCTATAAACGCATTATACCAAACTATAAGAACTTATTTACTCTACAAATTCCTTTGTAACTTTTAATTTTCAGAATAAAAACCACGGCCATTATAGTCCACATTTTATTATTATAGAACAAAGTTTAAAATTTAGAAAAAGTCTTAAAAGGTTATTTGTTCAACTTGCCTGCAATGTAGTATCACACATTCTCTGAAATCTAAAAATTACAGTCTTTTTTATTTTAAGTATATGTATGCTAAAAAGTGTAACACTAATGTAATCTAATTATATTACAGATTTGTTATTGGCTATTTCCACCTACCTTTTAAAATTTTAACAATAGCCAAAAGAATAAAAACACTGCCAAGCCATTTACATTTTAAAAATAAATTATTGTAACAGATAAGTGTTACCCAATATACGTGCGATTTCTATTAATAAAATAAACAATATATTTTAAAATAATACCACAGAACTTACATTGAAATTATATTTCAAGTAATGAAAAATACTTCTCATTTTACACTTACAATAAATGATAGTATTCTAAAACAAAATCCACCACTCTATACTATTATTTCCATATGCCAGAGTTCTAGTATTTAGTTTTTGGTCCTATCAAATAAAATCTTTATGTTAAAGAAGTGTAACCATATTTAAAGGAGCTGCTATACTCAATTATTCAAAAAAAAGAATAAAACAAATCTGTCTTAGCATACTCACAATATGATAAAAGTTTGCTATCACTGTATTTAATACACATTTTGACATATACATAATACATATTTTGACATCAAAAAACATTTTGAAACCTGAATACACAATACTTTTCAGCAAAACAGCTTTGAAAACAAACCTAAATGCCCCATTCTAAGCTTCTATCTTAAATCCCTCCTTACACATAAGGCAACAGGTGAGGGGGAGAAAAAACATTTGGACTGATTATAAAATGCATCCCCACATTCACTGTCCATTCTTCATTACCTCTAAGGTCCCAGGATCTGTGTTTAATTATAACTCGGGGGTGGGGGTTGGGGGGAGCAGAGGAAACATTGTGTCACATTTATAGATATTTCTGAATATATTAAAATCAGGATTGTACAATCTACTGAAATTAGAAACATAATTCTAAACTATCCTATGTGAATCACAAAATGTCAAACTTCCTCGAGGAGAGAACTCTCCAAATAGTCTGTGGGAATTCTACATTAGAGTACCATTTCAGAACAGAAACAGTGTCAACAAAGGTTTTACAGATATGATGCATACATTTCAGAAAGGACACACAGAGGATGGTTAGTCTTTACAGATTCTGCTTTAGCTATCTTTCTGAATAATAATTTTATACATTATGTTCACTGATAATTTTCCCTTCAAATAAGTGCCAAAACTGATTTTTTTTATAGGCTGTCAAGAGTGATTTTTTAGGTTTTAAGAAGAGACCTCATTAAAAATGGCAAGGAATCTCAAAGATAAGGATTTTATAGATCCTGAAAAGACGTATACTAAACTGTAAGTTCACTTTTAAACCAACAATAGCAATAAATACAAGAGTAGAACTACAAGGAAGGCAAGTACCAAGCAGTATTCCAGCTTCCTGGCAACTGTGGTAACTTGGGGAGAGGAGCGAACAGGGAGAAAGCCTCTCCAAGAGCTCCTCATGGTCTCTGCCTTTGTTCTTACTGGCATTTTAATTTCTGATGACAGACTTTTGTTGTTTGGGGCATAAACCGGACGTACCAGTTTGGAGGCACAATAAGGAGAACAAAGAATGATTTGTTCACACTGTAGGAAAAAAAAATCTTTTCCAACCATAGAAAATAGCTTTCGCATGGTGAAAATATGCAAATTACATACCAAACCAAAAAAGGGGTGGGGGTAGTACAAGTTTAGAATCTCACAACTCAATCTAAGGCAAAAGGAAATTACAACAGCTAAGACAATAATATATACACAGAAAAGGCTATACAAGTTCTGGGAGAGCTGTAGAAGTGTTTTTAGAGAATTCTAAAAGCAAATGAAGGTTTTCTTGCCCTCAGGATCAAACTTACTTCTAAACTTCTGATGACTTTTCATAGACTATCTAACTATAATATAGAAAATTCAAATACCAAAGACAATAAAAATACTGCTTTATAATGCTGCATTATTAGGACAAGAGTAAACATTCACATCCCTACTTTTCCCTATAGATACTGGTTAAATGGATGTTTGTGATCTGCAAATGATATTTTTTTTAGCAAACTTTATCAAAAGGTAACAAACATAGAAAAAATACACACATCCTAAGTATATGTATAATATGAATTTGAAATGTTAATACACCTCTGAACCAAGAGACATCAAGAAACAGAATATTACGGATACTCAGAAGGTCCTGCTACATCTCTTTTCAGTCATAATCCCAACTCATAACTGATTTCTATTACTTTAAGTTCTACTTGTTCATTTTAATGTAAATGGGTTCCCACAATATGTACCCTTGGGAATGGCTTCTTTCACACATTACTATGCTTATGAAATTAATTCATGTTGTTGCATGGAATCGTAGTTTTATTCCTATTGCTATATAGATTTCCATTGTATGAAAATATTATAAATTTTTTTTTTGAGACGGAGTCTTGCTGTCGCCCAGGCTGGAGTGCAGAGGTGTGATCTCAGCTCACTGCAAGCTCTGCTCCTGGGTTCACGCCATTCTCATGCCTCAGCCTCCCAAGTAGCTGGGACTACAGGCGCCCACCACCATGCCCGGATAATTTTTTGCATTTTTAGTAGAGATGGGGTTTCACCGTGTTAGCCAGGATGGTCTCGATCTCCTGACCTTGTGATCCGCCCACCTTGGCCTCCCAAAGTGCTGGGATTACAGGCATGAGCCAGTGTGCCTGGCCGAAAATATTACAATTTTATCCATTGTACTGTTCATGGACCTCTGAGTTGTTTTTACTTTTTTACTTCTAGTTTTTAGCTCGTAAGATGTCAGGGAAGTCAGGCACAGTAGCTCATGCCTATAATCCCAGCACTTTGGGAGGCCAAGGTGGGTGGATCACCTGAGGTCATGAGTTCAAGACCAGCCTGGCCAACATGGTGAAAAGCCGTCTCTACTAAAAATACAAAAATTAGCCAGGCAAGGTGGCACACACCTGTAGTCCAGCTACTCGGGAGGCTGAGGTAGGAGGATTGCTTGAACCCAGGAGGCGGAGGTTGCAGTGAGCTGAGATTGTACCATTGCACTCCAGCCTAGGCAACAGAGCAAGACTCAGTCTCAAAAATAAAAAAAGATGTCAAGGAAAATTGTGAAAGATTTTGAAATGCTGAACAGATTACTTTGTGTTCTGTGTGTTTTTACTACGGATTACCAAGAGCTCTCTAGCAGACCCTTTGGGGTTATCTGATTCCATAGGGGATCCACACTTTGTTTTTGACTGGGCTACTGTACAATACTCTGAGCTGTCGAAAACTGATAGTAATGCAATTGATTCTTGTGCACAGAAATGCAAATGAATTTTGTCTGGTAGAGACACAAGTGAATTCCACTCTGTAGAAAAGATTCCAAACAGTACATTTTAGTGTCAACAGAATATTAACCAAGCTTGTAGCTATTAGAAAATTTATTTCAGTATTCCTAATTGCTTCTCTGTGATATTCACCTTCTCCTTTGAACCAGCTATAATAACATCCCAAATCCCTAATCAATGAGTTAAAAAATGCAGGATATCTGTCCCTTATACAGTTGTATGAGAATCACTGTTTTACCATTTTGAAAACAACATAATAAAGAATACTGATATAAACATTCTCACAAATGTATTTTAGTAAACATGTATATGTATTTCTCTTGGACATACATCTAGTAGAGTAACTACTTCTGTATATTAGGGCAGGCACATGTGTATCTTTCGTAGATTTTAACAAAATTGTTTTCCAATGTGATTGTACCAATTTACACTTCCACCAGCAACGTACAAGAGTTCTATCTGCTCCACATCCTAGCCAATATTTAGTGTCAGCCATTCTGGTAGGTGTCCAAAAATTATGGATTTAAATCAACAGATGTATGGTAACTGAAACAAATAAATCTGTCTCCAATGGATATGTAATGCTGCCTCAAAGTAACTATATAAATAGTCTATTATAATGGCCCTCCATGAGGGCAGATGATGTAAGACTTTTTGTCCTGAAGGACCACAGATAGGTATGATAGTACAGAATATTAATGAGATTCAAGGACTCAATTAAGCAGCTCTTGGAATAAGTAGAGTTTTTTTGTAATAATGAAATTTATATCTTAATTCCAAATACAATAATGACCAATCCTTCCCTCAAACTAAGGTGCAATGATTAGGTTCTAGCAACACAATGTCCTTCAAAGCTGAAATGCACTGATTTGTAAAAATTCAGACTTCCAGTTTCCAGGCCAAAACATGGAGCTCAGAAGACTTCACTTAGATCTGACCACAAGTAAAAAGCTGAACAGCTCTTCTTACATCCGTCAGAAAAATGACATCATAGAGCAAACGGCTACCCCAAAAATTGGAGAGACAGACAGGCAGATACAGAGAATCACAATTTATCAGGGCAGAAATCCACAAGCAAGAACCTTCTCAGGAATCAGTACTAAGGTAGGAACACATAAACTGTGATTCACAAATTTCTAGAGGCTCAATGTAGACAAGACATTGTAAAATGTAAAAATTAAAAATTGTAAAAAGTAAAAATTCCAGGGGGACCCAGACCTGGGGGCCCTCACACTGATGTGTTTTACCTCCAGGAGCTCCACCAGGCCCTAACAGCCAATACTGAATAAAAATCCCCTAGAACCTCTGGCAGTGGGTGTGAAAATGGAACCATCTTGAAATATGCCAGACCAGATCTTTCTGTTCTTAACAAAGCCTGCCCTCAACAGAAACTACTTTATGAGAGCCTAATTTGCTGGGGTTATATCAGAGTTTAACCTACCTGGGGAAAAATACCCAACTCCAATCTCCTCTTACCCTTCTGTCTCACCCGAGGGTGTTAAAAAACACACCACACACACTCAAAAAAATGAGAAACAAAGGACTAAAACTTACCCACAGGACTGTAGAATGCTTTCCCTCCCCACACACTGCCACTCAGTTACTAACATCCCATTTACCATAGTTCCTTTTACCCAATATATCATATCCTTTTTTTTTTTTTTTTTTTTTTTGAGGCAGGGTCTCACTCTGTCACCCAGGCTGGAGTGTAGTAGCATGATCTCAGCTCACTGCTACCTCGGCCCCCCTGGGCTCAAGTGATTTTCCCACCTCAGCTTCTCAAGTAGCTGGGACTACCAGTGCCCACCACCATGCCCAGCTGAAATTTTTTGTATGTTTTTGTAGAGATGAGGTTTTACCATATTGCCCAGGCTGGTCTTGAACTCCTGGCCTCAGTGATCCACCCGCCTCACCCTCCCAAATTGCTGGAATTACAGGTGTGAGCCACCACACATGGACCATATCTTCCTTTTAACAAAAAATTAGAAAGCATACTAAAAAGCAAACAATACAATCTGAAGAGACTAAATAAGCATCAGAACCAGAATCACAACTGGTAAGCTCAGAGAATAGCAGGCGGGATAAATGCCCCCAAAAAACCCTACACCAAGGCATACCATTTTCAAATTTCAAACAAATCAAAGATAAAGAAAAAATCTTGAAAGACGCCAGAGGAAAAAATCCCTACTTATAGAAGAGCAAGGATAAGGATTACATTGCCTTCTCCTCATAAACGATGCAAGCAAGAAGAGAATGAAGCACTTAGAGGGTTGTGTGAAAAAAAAAAAAAAAAAAAAACAGTAACCTCTAATTCTGCATCCTGAAAAATCACCCTTCAAAAACAAAAGACAAAAACTTTATCAGACAAACAGGAACCGAGGGAATTTGTTGCTGGCAGACCTGCCTTGCAAGAAATGTTAAAAGATGTTCCGCAGAGAAAAAGGAAACAATATAGGTCAGAAACTCACATTTACGTAAGGAAAGAAAAACATCAGAGAAGAGTAAGTGAAGGTAAAATAAAACTTATTTTTCTTTCCTATTTTTTTTCAGACAGAGTTTTGCTCTTGCCGCCCAGGCTAGAGTACAATGGCGCAATCTCAGCTCACTGCAACCTCTGCCTCCCGAGTTCAAGTGATTCTCCTGCCACAGCCTCCTAAGTAGCAGGTATTACAGGCACCTGCCACTATGCCTGGCTGATTTTTGTAGTTTTGGTAGAGACAGGGTTTCACCACATTGATCAGGCTGGTTTCGAACTCCTGACCTCAGGTGATCCACCCGCCTCGGCCTCCCAAAGTGCTGGGATTATAGGCGTGAGCCACCATGCCCAGCTGAAAACTTATTTTTCTTATTAATTTTTTTACAAATAACAGTTTGTTCAAATTAATAGCAACAATGTACTCAATTATGTATGTGTATGTATATATGTTTGGTATTGTGTGTGTATATATATGCGCTTATACATATGTGAAATAAATGACAGCAATGACACAAGAAACAAGAGAGAATTAGGAATAGTTTGTGAATATTAGGTATTGCACTACCCATGAAGCAGTATAGTGTTATATGAAAGCGGACTTGCATTGGTTGTAAATGTATTGCAAACTCCAGGACAATCACTAAAAGAAGTTTAAAATGTAGTAAAAATGATATGCTAAGAAAGGTAAGAAACAACATCATATAAAATGCTCAATTAAACTAAAAAGACAGCAAAAGTGTGGAAGATAAAAAAAAAGAGCTACAATAAAAAAATAAAATTTACCAACCATGATGGCTTGCTACATGGAAGGCTGAGGCAGGAGGATCAATTAAGCCCAGGAGTTCGAGGCTACAGTGAGCTACATTCATGCCACTGCACTCCAGCCTGGGCAGAAAATCAAGATCCTTTCACTAGAAAAGATTTTTAAAAATACAAAAATAAAAATAAAAACAAGGGCCAACAAATAGGAACAAATATGGTAGTTATTTATCCATCTATATCAATAATCACGTTAAACATCAATGGTCTAAATATGTCAGTTAAACAACAGAGATTGTGAAAATGGGTTAAAACACAAGACCCAACTGTATGTTGTATAGAAGAAATCCACTTTAAATATAAAAACAGGGATTAAAAGTAACAGGATGTAGGAAGAAATACCATGCTAACACTAATTGAAAGAAAGCAACCACAGTTACATTAACTTCAGAAAGAGCAGATTTCAGGGCAACGAAAGTTGTCAGGGAAAAAGAGGGATATTACATAATGATAAAGGGGTCAATACTCCAAGAAGACTTAATTGGTGCTTACTACATATGTGCCTAACAACACAGCACCAAAATACATGAAGCAAAAATTGACAGAATTGTAAAGAGAAAGAGATGAATCCACTATTAAAGACTCTAACACCCCTCTATCTGAAATGAACAGATCCAGCAGCCAGAAAAGCACAAAAGGACATAGTTGAACTCAACAGCACCATCGGTAAACTGGATATAATTGACATCTATAAACTACTTCTGAACAGTAATACAATAAACATTCTTCAGGCAGACATGGAACATTCACTAAGACAGGGCATCTTCTGGACCACAAAACGCACCTTAACAAATTTAAAAGAACAGGCTGGGCACAGTGGCTGACGCCTGTAATCCCAGCACTTTGGGAGGCCGAGGCAGGCGGATTACCTGAGGTCAGGAGTTTGAGACCACCCTGGCCAACACGGTGAAACCCCATCTCTACTAAAAATGCAAAAAGTAGCCAGGTGTGGTGATGCATGCTTGTAATCCCAGCTACTCGGGAGGCTGAGGCAGGAGAATCGCTTGAACCCAAGAGGCAGGGGTTGTAGTGAGCCAAGGTTGCGCCATTGCACTCCAGCCTGGGCAACAAGAGTGAGATTCCATCTCAAAAAAAATAAAATATAATAAAATAAATAAAAAATAAAAGAACAGGCCAGGCACGGTGGCTCAAGCCTGTAATCCCAGCACTTTGGGAGGCCGAGACAGGCAGATCACGACATCAGGAGATCGAGACCATCCTGGCGAACACGGTGAAACCCCGTCTCTACTAAAAGTACAAAAAACCAGCCGGGCGAGGTGACGGGCGCCTGTAGTCCCAGCTACTCGGGAGGCTGAGGCAGGAGAATGGCGTAAACCCGGGAGGCGGAGCTTGCAGTAAACTGAGATCCCGCCACTGCACTCCAGCCTGGGCAACAGAGCGAGACTCTGTCTCAAAAATAAATAAATAAATAAATAAAAGAACAGAAATCATTCAATGACCACAATGGAATTATCAAAGTAGAAATTAAAAATAGAAAGATAGCTGAAAAATAACCAAGTATTTGAAGATTAAACAACATAATTCTAAATAGCACACAGGTAAAAGAAGAAAGCTCCAGAGAAATGTTTAAATATGTTTAACTAATGAAAATGAAAATACAATTTATCAAAATTTGTGAAATGCAGTGAAAGCAGTGCATAGAGGGAAATCTGTAACACTGACTGAATATATTAGAAAACAAGAAAGATCTAAAATTAAAAATCTAATCTTCCACCTTAAAAAGCTAGAAAAAGAAGAGCAAATTGAATCCAAAGTAAGTGGAAGAAAATAAATAATATAAAATAGAACAGAAATCAATGAAATTGAAAACAGAAAATCAACAGAGAAAACCAATGAAACCAAAAACTGGTTCTTTGAAATGATGAATAAAATTAAGACTCTAGCCAAGCTAATTGAAAAAGAAACAGAGAAGGCACAAACTACTACTATTAGAAATGAAAGATGGGAGGCTGAGCGCAGTGCCTCATGCCTGTAATCCCAGCACTTTGGGACGCCGAGGCAGGTGAATCATGTGAGGTCAGGAGTTCAAGACCAGCCTGGCCAACATGGCTAAACCCTGTCTTTACCAAAAATATAAAAATCAGCCAGGCGTGGTGGTGCGTGCCTGTAATCCCAGCTACTCAGGAGTCTGAAGCAAGAGAATCGCTTGAACCTGGGAGGCAGCGGTTGCAATGAGATAAGATCGCACCATTGCACTCCAGCCTCAGCAACAGAGGGAGACTTGGTCTCACAAATGGGGAGGGGAGATGAGGGGAGGGGAGGGGAAGGGAGACGAGGGGAGGGGAGGGGAGGGGAGGGAAGGGAAGGGAAGGAAGGAAAGAGGGGAGATCACTAAAGATCCCATGGACATTAAAAGGATAATAAAGGAACATTACAAATAACTCTATGCCATGAGTTTGATAACCTAGATGAAATGGACCAAACCCTTGAAAGACACAATCTGCCAAAATGCACACAACAATAAATAGACAACCTGAATAGGTCTACACCTATTAAAGAAATTGACCCAGTAATTAATAATCTTCCAAAATAGAAAGCACCCAGGACCAGAAGAATTCACTGGTGAATTCTACCATACACTTAAGAAAGAAATAATACCAATTCTTTATCATCTCTTTGGAAGACAGAAGCATAGAGAATGCTTCCTAAATCATTTTAGGAGACCTCTATTACTCTAACACCAGAACCACAAAAAAGACGTTAGGTTATGTGTGGTGGCTCACTCCTGTAATCCCAGCACTTTGGGAGGCTGCGGTGGGTGGATCACTTGAAGCCAGAAGTGCGAGACCAGCCTGGCCAACGTGGAGAAACCCTGTCTCTACTAAAAACACAAAAAAATTAGCTGGGCGTGGTGGCACATGCCTGTAAGAAAAAAAAAAAAATTACAAGAAACCTACAGATCAATATCTCTCATGAACATAGATGTGAAAATCCTCAACAAAATACTAGCAAATCAAACCCAACAATGTATAGTAAGAATTATAGGCTGGGCACGGTGGCTCACAACTGTAATCCAAGCACTTTGGGAGGCCAAGGCAGGAGGATCGCTTGAGTCCAGGAGTTTGAGGTTAACAGTGAGCTATGATTGCAACACTGCACTCCAGCCTGGGTGATGAAGTGAGACCCTATCTCTGAAAATAAAATAAAATAAAGAACCAAGTGGAATTCATACCAAGTATGCAAAGCTGGTTCAACATTCAAAAAATGTTGAATGGCTCACTTAATGTAGTAGCTCACTTACCCTCACTTAATGGCTTATTAAGCCATTCAATGTAGTCCCAATGTACATTCAATGTAGTCCCAATGTACATTCAATGTAGTCCCAATCAAAATCAAAGCAAGTTATTCTGTAGCTACTAACAAATCAATTCTAAAGTTTCTATGGAGAAGTAAAAAATTCAGAATAGACAACTAAATGCTGAAGGAGAAAACAAAGTCAGAACACTGATGCTGTCTGATTTCAAGACTTACTTTAAAGCTACAGTAACCAAAACAGTGTAGTATTGGTGAAAGACTAGATAATTAGATCAGTGGGACAGAACAAAGAGTTCACAAATAGACCTACGTAAATACAGTCAATTGATCTTTGACGTAATAGCACAGATAATACAACGGAGCCAAGACAGTCTTTCAACAAATAGTGCTGAAAAAACTGGACATCCACATGCAATAAAATGAATGTAGATACAGACCTTATACCCTTCACAAAAATAAACTCCAAATGGATTACAGACCTAAATGTGAAACATGAAACTCTAAAACTCAAAAAATAATATAGGAGTCTGGGCACAGTGGTTCACACTTGCAATCCCAGCACTTTGGGAGGCTGAAGTGGGAGGACTGCTTGAGGCCAAGAGTTCAAGACCAGTCTGGGCAACATAGCAAGACTCTATCTCTACTAAAAATTTAAAAATTAACTGGGTGTGGTAGTGTGCACCTGTCGCCCTAGCTACTCAGGAAGCTAAAGCAGGAGGACCACTTAAGCCCGGAGTTTAAAGCTGTAGTGAGCTAGGATCGCATTACTGGGTAATAAAAGCCTGAGTAGTAGAGCAAAACTCTAGCCTGGGGATTAGAGCAAGACTTTGTCTCTAAAACTAAATAAGTAACAAAGGAGAAAACCTAGATGATACTGGGTATAGTGATGACTTTTTTGATACACCAAAAACACCATCCATGTAAGAAAAAAATAAGCTAGACTTGGTTAAAATTTAAAACTTCTACACTCCAAAAGACATTGTCAAGAGAATAAGCCAAGCCATAAACTGAGAAAACATTTGCAAAAGACACATCTGATAAAGTACTGTTATATAATATATACAAAGAACTTTTAAAACTCAACAATAAGAAAACAATCTGTTTTTTTTTTTTTTTTTTTTTTTTGAGACAGGGTCTGGTTCTGTCACCCAGGCTAGAGTGCAGTAGAATGATCAATGCTTACTACAGCCTCAACTTCCTGGGCTCAAGCATTTCTCCTACCTTAGCCTCCCAAATAGCTGGGACCACGGGTACATGCCACCATGCCCAGCTAACTTTTCTAAAATTTTTTTGTAGAGGCGGGGGTCTCACAAAGTTGCCCAGGCTGGTCTCAAACTCCTGGGCTCAAGCAATCATCTCACCTCAGCCTCTTAAAGTGCTAGGAATATAGACATGAGCTACCACACTCAACCAAACATACAGTATTTAAAATTGGCCACTAGACATAGAAGATGATGGAAAAAGAATGCCTCATGTTTATCTTGAGTGCATTTTGCCTTTCTGTCAAAAATACCTTTCATGTCAAGAGTCTTCTGAATTAGTAACTGCTCTAATTTCACCTGGGAAGACAGCCAGCAAGAGCAGCCAATACCTGAGACCCTGGACATTTTAGTCTTATTCCAAAAATCATGTCCTATCACAATGCAAAATATGAAAAATACACCAGATCATCTGTTATAAATTTTACCAATCAACAAAATCAATGATTCTAACAGTTCAGTAGAAAAGAAAATGGACTATGTTTATTAGCTATATAAATATGCTATATCTGTGTTTGGTTTTAAAGTAATGTTAATAACATATTTAACCAGGCAACAATAAATAACTTGTATATTTGTATATATATAAATGTATAGTTGTATATTTCATAGTATGTAATAATTGGCACTCAATAAATGATAGTTAATCCAAAGAGATGCTTGTTGAATGAACTGATGAATGAATGATTCAGTCTATGTTGGTCTCACTATTCTACCTCAATGTTATTCGGCATAATATACCTTTACTCTCTTGTTCTCAAAGCATGCTATTAATATTTAACACATAGAAATGTGTTAAAATACCATATTGAAGAATACATTTTGGTACAGCTCAGTGCTCAGGTCTTATTTATTTATTTGTTTATTTATTTATTTTTGAGATGATGCCTCCCTCTGTCGCCAGGCTGGAGTGCAGTGGCGCGATCCTGGCTCACTGCAAACTTCTGCCTCCCGGATTCAAGCAATTCTCCTGCCTCAGCCTCCTGAGTAGCTGAGATTACAGGCATGCACCACCATGCCCAGCTAATTTTTGTATTTTCAGTAGACAAGGGGTTTCACCATGTTGGCCAGGATGGTCTTGATCTCTTGACCTCGTGATCCGCCTGCCTCGGCCTCCCAAAGTGCTGGGATTACAGGTGTGAGCCACTGACTGTACCAGCCCAGTTCTTGAACTCACTAATACTTTATATCTTCCTATGATTTTCAGCCTTGGAGAAAAGAACTACTACCAAGGTGGTAAGCAGCATCTCGTCTATGCAACAGGTTTTATCACACTAGTCTTCATAATCCCATTCAAGATCAAGCCAGTCTCCACCCACTCTAACTTTTATGTATTTATATGTTTTTACTTGCAACTTGTTTTCTTTGCTACCAGCGATCTAAAAATAGCCCATTTAAACATACAAATGTAGAGCTATCAATCTTTTCTAATTGTTTTACATGTATTAACCATATGGACACAACTGAAGATCTGTAGTTAAAAAGATCAGTAGTTTTAAAAGCTAAAAAGTAACACCAATAAAATTCTATTGGGGAGAAAAAGTTAATCTAAGGACTACAGTTATTAATAATGTGTCAATATAAGCTCATCAATTGTACTAAATGTACTACACTAATGCAAATGTTAATAGTTGAAAATAGGAGGGCTGGCCAGGCGTGGTGGTTCACGCCTATAATCCCAGCACTTTGGGAGGCTGAGGTGGGTGGATCACCTGAGGTTAGGAGTTTGAGACCAGCCTGGCCAACATGGTGAAACCCCATCTCTACTAAAAATATAAAAATTAGCGGGGCGTGGTGGCAAGCAGCTGTAATCCCAGCTACTTGGGAGGCTGAGGTGGGAGAATCGCTTGAACCTGGAAGGTGGTGGTTGCAGTGAGCCGAGATTGTACCACTGCACTCCAGCCTGGGCGAGAGAGAGAGACTGCCTCAAAAAAAAAAAGAAAGAGGGTGATAAGCGGATACATGAGAGGTGTCTGTATTTTCACCTCAATTTTTTTGTAAACCTAAAGCTACTCAAAAAAATAAAGCCTATTAATTTAAACATATATAGAAAATGTAAAAATCCAACAAATAAATGTTAATTTTCCCTAATAGGAAGAAAAAAGAAAACAAGGATAAAAGGTAAAAAAATAGAGATTAGAGAAAGGAAGTCTTCTACTAAGGAATTCAGTTCCTAAAGCAACAAAAACACCTCACATAATCCATTTAAATATACACATGAAGGCCAGGAGTGGTGGCTCATGCCTGTAATCCCAGCACTTTGGGAGGGCAAGGTGGGCAGATCACCTAAAGTCTGGAGTTTGAGACCAGCCTGGCCAATATGGCGAAACCCCATCTCTACTAAAAATACAAAACTTAGCTGGGCATGATGGCACATGCCTGTAATCCCAGCTACTCGGGAGGCTGAGGCACAAGAATTGTTTGAACTGGGAGGCAGAGGTTGCAGTAAGCCAAGATTATGCCACTGCAGTCGAGCCTGGGCGACAGAGCAAGACTTTGTCTCAATAAATATATAAATAAATAAGCAAGCAAACACATGTATAGTTATCAGTTTGCTAATTATTTCACATGTGCTAAGCATACAGATACAACTGGAAGGAATGAAGTTCTTTAAAAACTTCTTTTTATAGTTTTTGTAACTTAAAAATTAATAACACTAATTTACTTTTAATTAGGGAGAAATTGTAAAAACATAAAGGAGAATGTCGGAGGCATGGTAGGTATCATCTTATACTAAGGAATTCAGTTAAGAAACAACAAAAAGAACTCACCTAGTTACATGAGTGGCCACAGTAACTACAGAGCCAGCTCTACTGAAAGCTGAGAGTCTCTCTCTCAAATCACCCTGTAAGCCAATTTGATAATATATTTTCAATTTATAGATAAGGAAACAAAGAAAATGCTGCCAAAAATAACCAGCCCAAAGAGGCATCAGAATCTCCTATAAATACACTATATGCAAAATAGTTCTTAAACTCAGGTCTTTTTTTCTCTAACAAGTCATTGTCAGTGTTATTTTATTGTATAAAATTGCCTCCACAATTTTAAAAACTTAAGATAGTACAGTTTTCCTAATAGTAAAGAGTAGTCCTTTTGAAAGCTCCTAAATTTAGGAGGAAGAGGGGAACAAGTTTTTGTTTCGTTTTGTTTTTTGCCTGCCTAACCATAAAAGATTCAGTTAATATCAGAGTGTCAGTATTTCTGCAACCTACTGTATATACCATCAAGAAAAAAAAATGCAAGCCACAAAAATCACCTAAAACGCATATTTGTGAGGACTAACAACTTATAGAACAGATATTTGCCGACCACATAAAGAAAAGAGCAACCTGGTCTGTATTTTGGTCTTGACACTAAATTCATAATACAAAACTTCAGGCAGGAAGGAAGTGAATTTCAAGAACAATATGAAAACCACAGAACACAAATAATGAATGGAACTTGTAATCATATTTTCATACTTCCAGATTTTTGCACACATAGAAAGAGGTGTTTTAAGGCAACTTTAACCTTTCCCCTTCAGCCTGATTTTCTAAAGGAAGATCAAAGAAAAGCGGTTTGAACTCACACGTTCCTTCGGTTATGCAACATTGATTTAGACATTACACTTCAAAACTCTAGCCATTACTTCAGCATGCACGAATCCAAATATCATTCCAGTCCTTTGAAGCCGCCTTAATGGTATCTTCCATTTGCAACTAACACTTTGGTAGTCAAAAGATCTTACTCAGGGTAGATGTTAATGTAAAACCACTCAGACTACACTGACACACACGCCTGGAGGCAGACGAGAAGGTGTTCAGAAGTCAATGTAACACCATTATAGAGAGTGTCAGCCTAGTGGCTGTCATAAACACTTCCTAATCACTCAGACATAAAAACTGGATTCTCTTTATTATTTTATTACAAGCTGGTAGGTGTTCAATTGAAAAGTGAAGAGAGAAAACTGTGTAATAGATAAACCAATTTTGGCTCACCGCCTCTTACCACTTTTAAAAGACTGAATTTGTTACATTTTAATGGTATTGTAAACCTATCTTGATTTAATCCATTGATTAAAGAAGATAGATTTGCAATAGATAGTTAACCAAGGAGAAACTGTTTATATTAAATAGAAGCCTAAAAGATTTTTCCATAAAATAGGTATTATATTAACTTGTAAGATTAACAAGATGATTTTTTTTTAATGACTGACAACATCAATGGCAGCAGTAAGTGGAACAACTGTAACTCCCAGATACTGCAAATGGAAATATACAATAATACAGCCTAATTGGAAAACCCTTGGGCAATTTCTTTTTTTTGGGGGGGGGGGCGGGCGCGCAATTTCTAATAAAGTTAAATATATGCCACCTACCCCGAAACTAAGCAATTCCGCTAGATATCTTAACAAAACAAAAAAAAAAAAGTCCATATATCTATAAGAATGTTTATAGACACTTTATTCATTATAGGCAAAGGCCAGAAACACAAAGCCCATCAAAAAGAAAATAACTAAACAGATTATGGTATATTTAAATAGTAAAATAAAACACAATAATAAAAACAAACAAAAAATGCAAACTACTATGATATAGCAACAACACAGATGAATCTAAAAAATATATTTAGCAGAAGAGGACAGATGCAAAAGAGCACATACTGTGTGCCTCTATTTATATGAAGTTCAATGCATGTAAAACTAATATGGGGTCAGAATAGTGGTTATCTTATCCTGGAAGGAGGAGAAATATTGACTGCAAAATTTTATGAGTACAAAATGTTTTACATTTTCTCCCCAATGGTGGTTTCATGCACTTGTATATGTATACACACAAGCATGCATACAGACGTATATAAACACACATATATACACACACACACAGGTAAAAATCATCAAACTATAGACCTGAGATTTGTGCATTTCATAGTATGTACATTATCTTTATTTTTTAAAAGATATTATCAGGTGTGGTGGCTCATGCCTGTAATCCCAGCACTTTGGGAAGCTGAGGTGATAGACTGCTTAAGGTCAGGAGTCTGAGACCAGCCTGACCAACATGGTGAAACCTCATCTCTACTAAAAGTACAAAAGTTAGCTGGGCGTGGCGGTGGGCACCTGTAATTCCAGCTACTTGGGAGGCTGAAGCAGGAGAATCACTTGAACCCAGGAGGTGGAAGTTGCAGTGAGCCAAGATCGCCCCACTGTACTCCAGCCTAGGTGACAAAGTGAGACTCCATCTCAAAAATAAAATAAAATAAAATAAAAAGATAACTGTCATAAACAAATTGTGGTATTCCATACAATGAAATATTATTCAGCATTTGAATAAACTATCAAGTCATGAAAAGACATGAAAGAACCTTAAATGCATACTACTAAGTGAAAGAAACCAATCTGAAATGGCTGTCTACTGTGTGATTCCAACTATATGGAAAAGGCAAAAGAATAGACACAGTAAAAACATCAGTGGTGCCCAGGGCTTATCAGGGAGGGAGGGATGAATACATAGAGAACAGAGGATGTGTAGGGCAGTGAGACTATTCTGTGTGATATTACAATGGTGGATACCTGTCAAAACACATAGAAAGTATACCACCAAAAACCAGGCCAGGTATGGCGGCTTACACCTGTAACCCCAGCACTTTGGGAGGCTGAGGTGGGCAAATCACTTGAGGTCAGGAGTTCCAGATCAGCCTGGGTAACATGGCGAAACCCCATTTCTACAAAAAAATAGAAAAATTAGCCAGGCATGGTGGCATGCACCTGTAGTCCCAGCTACCCAGGAGGCTGACGTGGGAGGATCACTTGAGCCCAGAAGGCAAAGGCTACAGTGAGCCGAGATCGCACCACTGTACTCCAGCATGGCCAACAGAGCAAGACCCTGTGTCAAAAAAAAAAAAGGAAAAAAGTATACCACCAAAAATGAATCCTACTGTAAGCTGTGGACTGTGGGTGACAATAATGTATCAATGCATGTTCATGGATTGTAACAATTTTACCACTCTGGTGCTGGGGGTGTTGACAGTGGGAGAGACTGGGCACAATGTGGAGGCAGGAGTTTTATGGGACCTCCCTATACTTTCTACTCAATTTTGCTGTGAACCTAAAACTGCCCTTAAAAATAAAGTCTGTCTTTTTTTTTCTTTTCCTGTTAGGCGAGAGATGCACGAGGTGAGGGTCTCAGACACCGCTTCTCGTTTTCATCACAAAGACAGAACAGCCCCGCTGCAGAGATGGTCAACGTACCTAAAACCTGAAGAACCTCCTGTAAGGAGTGTGGCAAGCATCAGCCTTACAAAGTACCACAGTATAAGATGGGCAAGGATTCTTTGTATGCCCAGGGAAGGAGGCGCTATGATCGGAAGCAGAGTGGCTATGGTGGGCAGACAAAGCCAATTTTCTGAAGAAGGCTAAGACCACAGAGGATGTGTAGGGCAGTAAGACTATTCTGTGTGATATTAGATTGTGCTAAGGCTGGAATGTGTTGAGCCTAACTGCAGATCCAAGAGGATGCTGGCCCTTAAGAGATGCAAGCATTTTGAACTGGGAGGAGATAAGAAGAGAAAGGGCCAAGTGATCCAGTTCTAAACTTTGGGATATTTTTCTTTTAATTTTGAAGAGACAATGTTGAAGCCATAGAAAAATTACCTGAGGGAAAAGAAACACAGTGATATGCTTTAAAAATAAATAAATAAATAATTTTTTTAAAAGTCTGTTTTTTAAAAGGTATCTATTAAAGAACTTGACCTAGTTAAATATAACCCTTAATTTTTTCAAGTGTAAAATAAGACTAACACTAACTAGTAAAATTGACAGGATAATACATAATATATGCAATATGCCTAAAATAATGTATGGTGCATTCTGAATATTCCAGTTATAACTATTTTTTTTTCATATTCTACAAAATTTTACTAGGCAGCACAAGTGTTAAAACTCCTCCCTCCTGGCCAGTAGCAGTGGCTCACGCCTGTAATCCCAGTGCTCTGGGAGGCCGAGGCGGGCGGATCACGAGTTCAGGAGATGGAGACCATCCTGGCTAACATGGTGAAACCCCATGTCTACTAAAAATACAAAAAATTAGCCGGGCATGGTGGCGGGCTCCTGTAGTCCCAACTACTCGGGAGGCTGAGGCAGGAGAATGGCGTGAACCCGGCAGGCCGAGCTTACAGTGAGCTGAGATCGTGCCACTGCACTCCACCCTGGGCTAACAAGAGCTAAACTCCGTCTCAAAAACAACAACAGCAGCAACAAAACTCCCTCAGGTCTGATCCTGGGTTAAAAAAAAGAAAGAAAGAAAAAAAAACCCTCCCCCAGGCATCCCGTCATTCTTTGGGGGCTCTACAGCCATTCATTTATACCTCTATCCTAATACTGATCAAACAGATCACGATTTTTCAACCTCGGCACTACCAATGTTTTGGACTCAACAATTCTTAGTTCGGGGAGGCTGTCCTGTACATTATAGGATGTGTAGCAGTATCTCTGGCTTCTATCTACCACATGCCAGCTGCAATCCCCAGTCATGACAATGAAAAAAAAATAGCCAAATGGCCCCTTGGAGAACAAAATTACTCCTGGCTGGGAACCACTGACACAGACTGCAAATATTTAGTGACATTTCCCCCAAGTAAGAAATTATCTCCTCAAGACAGTGCTCAGGTCTTAGTTTATCTGTATCTCATAATACTTGACAAAGACCCGAACATTTCAATGTGGCTGAATGGAAAAATTATGGTACTATTCTAATAAAAATATAGATGTTAGCAGGAAGGGCTAGAGGGGAAATAAATAGATTTAAAGCAAAGAGCAAGACATTGTTAAGTTTATTTTGGGACTTTCTCAGATTTGAGTTTCTAGCATACTTAGAATTCAAAAGCAGACAATGAAACCAATGAAAAAATAGAGTATAAGAATTACCCACACATCTATGGTATTATTCCAATTAATAGGGTAAAGAATGGTCTTTTCAGGAAATGGTGCTGAATCAATTGGGTATCATTATCCTAAAAATAGAGATAAATAAGAAATAAGGCTTCAGCAGATGGACTGCTTTGGGCCAGGAGTTCAAGGCCAGCCTGCACAACATAATGAGAGCCCCTCTCCACAAAAAAAAAAAAAAAATTTTAAGTAGCCGGGCATGGTGGCACATGCTTACAGTACTAGCTGCTCAGGAGTCTGAAGCAGGAAGATCACCTGAGTCCAGGACTTGGAGGCTGCAGTGAGCTATAAGGGCACCACTGCACTCCAGCCTTGGCAACAGAATTAGACTCTGTCTCTAAAAAATAAGGAAACGAAATGAAAAAGAAATAACCCTGACTCCATCTCATACCATACACATACAAAGTTTTGTTTTGTTTGTTTGTTTTTTGTTTTTTTAATGAATCTTAAACCTAAAGGTAAATACAACCCTCTAAAAGAAAAGGAATTTTTTTTTTGAGACAAAGTCTCACTCTGTCGCCAGGCTGGAGTGCAGTGGTTATCTTGGCTCACTGCAACCTCCGACTCCCGGGTTCAAGTGATTCTCCTGCCTCAGCCTCCCAAGTAGCTGGGCTTACAGGTGTGTGCCATCACACCCGGCTAATTTTTGTATTTTTAGTAGAGATGGGGTTTCACTGTGTTGGCCAAGATGGTCTCGATCTCCTGACCTCAGGTGATAAGCCTGCCTCGGTCTCCCAAAGTGCTGAGATTACAGGCATGAGCCACCATACCCAGCCTTTTTTTTTTTTTTTGAGACAGAGTCTCACTCTGTCACCCAGGCTGGAGTACAGTGGCGCGATCTCGGCTGACTGCAATCTGTGCCTCCCGGGTTCAAGCAATTCTCATGCCTCAGCTACCCAAGTAGCTGGGATTATAGGCACATACCATCATGCCCAGCTAATTTTTATATTTTAGTAGCAATGGGTTTCACCATGTTGGCCAGGCTAGTCTTGAACTCCTGACCTGAAGTGGTCTGCCTGCCTTGGCCTCTGAAAGTGCTGGGATTACAGGCATGAGTCACCACACACAGCCTAAAAGAATATTTTCATGTCCTTGGAGTAAACAAAGATACAAAAAGAAATAATAATAGAGTAAAAGATAAAAAATCTGAACCACAATACTACTGCATCAAATTTAAATGACCTGGGTTTGATGACAGTGCTATGGCTATATATTTATTCTTAGGAAATTATACTAAATAATTTATGAAAACAGGCCAGGAACGATGGCTCACGCCTGTAATCCCAGTACTTTGGGAGGCTGAGGTGACTGGATCACTTGAGGCCAGGAGTTCGAGAACAGGCTGGCTAACATGCCAAAATCCCGTCTCTACTAAAAATACAAAAAACTACCTGGGCATGGCGGCACATGCCTGTTGTCCCAGCTATTCAGGAGGCTGAGGCAGGAGAATTGCTTGAACCCAGGAGGCGGAGGCTGCGGTGGGTGAGATCGCGCCACTGCACTCCAGCCTGGGCGACAGAGCGAGACTCCATCTCAAAAACAATAATAATAATTTATAGAAATTATGGTTCAGAAAATATACGCATAGATACACAGACTGAGAGAATGACAAACAAATAAGGCAAAATCCATGATTGGTGAATCTCCATGATGGGCAACAGGAATACCTTGTATATATTATAAAGTTTTCTGGAAGTTTGAAATTTATTGCAAAATAAAAAGCATTTTTTGAAATAGGGTCTTACTGTGTATTGTGATGCCCAGGCTGGAGGGCAGTAACATGATCATAGCTCACTGTAGCCTTGATCTCCTGGACTCAAGTGATCCTCTCCCCTCAACCTCCTGAGTTGCTGGAACCACAGGCACATGCCACGAGGCCCAGCTAATGTTTTATTTTTGGTCGAGACGGGGTCTCACTATGGTGCCCAGGCTGGTCTCAAACTTCTAATCTCAAAGGCTCCTCCCACCTCAGCCTCCCAAAGTGCTAGGATTACAGGCATGAGCCACTGTGCCCAGCCTAAAAAGCATTTTTTTTTTTTTTTTTTTGGAGAGGGAGTCTTGCTCTGTCACCAGGCTGGAGTGCACTGGTACAATCTCGGCTCACTGCAACCTCCACCTCCCAGGTTCAAGTGATTCTCCTGCCTCAGCCTCCCGAGTAGCTGGGACTACAGGAGCCTGCCACCATGCCTGGCTAATTTTTGTATTTTTAATAGAGACGGGGTTTCACCATGTTGGCCAGGATGGTCTCGATCTCTTGACCTTGTGATCCACCCACCTCGGCCTCCCAAAGTGCTGGGATTACAGGCATGAGCCACCATGCCAAGCCCCCTAAAAAGCATTTTTAAAACCTCACAGCCTCACAGAAGATATCAACACATCCACAACAGAATGGCCAAAACTGAAAAGACTGACAATACCAAGTGCTACTGAGAATGCAGGACAGACAGAAATTCCAAATACTTCCGGTGAGAGTACAAAGTTGGCAAAACCACTTTTGAAAACTATGTGGGAGCATCTACTAAAGGTAAACATGTACTTATCCTGTGACACAATAAATCTACTCCTAGATCAATACCCAAGACAAATGAGTGTCTACATACAGCAAAAATTACCATTTTTTGTTTATGTCCATGAAAAATTGCCATATACAGGAATTTTCAGAGCAACTTTATTAATACTCAAAAACTGGAAACAACAAAAATGCCTATCAGTCATATAATGGATTTTTTAAAAAATTATTGTATTCACATGATAGATACTACACAGCAAAATTAATGTTACACACAATAGCATAAAAACAAATCTTACAGTCATAATGTTAAGAGACAAGCCAGAACATAAAAGTATACTTTTTAAATCTATGACCGTATTTTTTAGACATTCAAGAATAGAAAAAAACAAATCTATGGTGATAGAAGTCAGAATAGCAGAATAATGGTTACTCGGAGGTGGAAAGAGGGTAGTATTGCCAAGGAAGTGGCACAAGGGATTCTTTTGAGGTACTGGAAATGTTCTAGACCTTAATCCAGGATGATGGTTAGAATGTTTTATATATATATAATGTATATATATTCAATCCATGCACTTAAGATTTGTGCATTTTACTGTATGTATACTCAATAACATTTATCAGAAAAAAAATGCATTCCACAGACTTATAAATCAGCTTACGTCCAAATAATATACTGTTTTAGAGTAGAAAATCATCAAAAAGATCTCAAATAAGAAAGTCAAACGTACAATGATAAATTTCAAACTCACAGTAATGTCTACTGCCTACGTCAAATCAACAAGAGTCACGCCACTATTCGCACACAGGGAAAAATTAAGTTTCAGATGCAAGACTTCTCTGAAGTGATACTTTAAGAAACATACTACAGGAAAAGATATTTTAATCCACCAATATGGGTAAATTCCAGAAGTTTCTTCAGTATTACTCTTCATTTCTGCTTTTATTCATCCGTAACAACCAATTCCCTCCCACTGCAGATGTCTAAGGATCCACCTATTACTTCTCTTTCCAGGAAGAAGATAACGCACCAAAGAAAATAAGGTCCTATTCTCAACGAAGGCAATTTTTTTCACTGGACTCCATCCATATTCAACCTCTCTCTGCTTGCCAGTGTACCCAAATCACTAACTTTATATTACTCCCAAATGAAAGCCATAAAAACTATTTCCTGGCTAACAATCTTAACATGGCAAGGTCTATTGGCACCTAACCTCTAATAAATAGT